TAATAAGGCCACGTATCTTCACGTTTAATTTTCGGGGTAGGTCGCCCTTTACAATAAGGTCATGCATCGCATATTTAATTTTCGGGGTAGGTTGCCCTTTATAACAAGGCCACGCATCTTCACGTTTAATTTTCGGGGTAGTCCGCCCTTTACAATAAGGCCATGCATCGCATATTTAATTTTCGGGGTAGGTTGTCCTTTACAATAAGACCACACATTTTCACGTTTAATTTTCGGGGTAGGTCGCCCTTTACAATAAGGCCATGCATCGCATATTTAATTTTTAGGGTAGGTCGCCCTTTACAATAAGGTCACGCATCTGCACGTTTAATTTTTCGGGGTAGGCTGCACTTTACAATAAGACCGCGCATTGTATGTTTAATTTTCGGGGTAGACTCGTCCTTTACAATAAGGCCATGCTTCGCATATTTAATTTTCGGGGTAGGTTGCCTTTACAATAAGGCCATGCACTGCATTTTAGTTTTTACAGTCATTCCATCATAGCTTCACCTCTGGTTTAAAAAGAAACCTTTTCTTTACAAGCTTATTAAACAAAGTCGGTGAAAAGCAACCTTTTCACTCGACTTTGCGCCATAAGCATTGTAAAGAGGAGGCAACTGTAATAACCCAAAATTTTCTTATTTTCTTATTTTTTATTTTTATTTATTTATTTTATTTTATTTTATTTTGTTTTTGTTTTTGTTTTTAATTTGAAGTTTATTAAGGAAAAGGAAAAAAAGGAGAAAGAAAATGACGAAAAAAGAAAATGAAAAAATGAAAAAAAATTCATTTAGGGGTGCGATTGAAGTAATTAGGGGTGTAATCGAGTCAATTGAAAAGTTTAGGCCTTCAATTGCACCTCCGGGCACCTAATTGTTGAGATTACATTGAAATTATTTCGCAGAGGGGCGTAATTGCTGAAATTGAAACTCGAGGACCAAACTGGAAGTTTGGAGCGAACGACAGGATCGAAATGGAGCAAACGACCTGTCGTTCGCTCCAAGGCAGATTCTCTCCGAAAATCTTTGGGAGAATCCGTCCAAATCCTCCATGAATTTCGTGTTTTTGATTGGGTATTAATCATGGATTTTGTTGCCAAAACCAACACCGACAGGAATCAATGAGAATTTCCTGTTTTGATTTCACAATTAATCATGAATGAAAGAGGAAAATTTTTGGTAGAAAATTCGGGGATTTCGTTTCAATTTTAGGAAATTTGTTGGCTATAAAACGTTTGATTTTCACGGAAAGAAGGAGGAGGATTTTTTGGGTGAATAATAATTCAGGTAGAGAGAGTTCAAAAAATCAAAAGCAAAAGATTTAATTTGGATTTTTGGCGGCTAAATTTTTTTTTTCGGGTTTACGGGTTTAGTGTTCTTCATGTTCTTGGTGTTCTTGAGGGTCGGGTTTTAGTTCATAATCTATCGGTCTCTTTTGGTGTTTGATTTTGAGTTTCTAAGGGCTAAATATCCATCCTCACTTCTTCCTTCACTCATTTTTCTGAATTTCGAGGTTCGATTGCTTGCACTTTCGACTCTTCACGTTTCGAGTAGCATTGCGGACATTCTTATTTTCCGGGTTTGTTCTTCATCTGTTGGGTTTCGATTCATCATTCCACAGGTCGTTTGAAGGGTGTTTGAATGCAGGTTGGGTAAAATATCATATGCTTGGGTTTAGTGAATGAGAAATCAATAGAAAGGGTTCAAAATTATGAGAAATCAGCAACTTTGGGTTCCGCATTTTCGAATTTTTCGGGTTGGTCTTCAACGATTCCGAGTCGGCTTAGGCTCTAATTCGCTTGCTTTGATTTTATTCGTTCATTTTTATTTGCATACTTGTTTTCTTTTCTTGTTCATGTTGATGTGCGTAATTGATTTAATTAGTTGAAGGTAATTCCTTGGCAAAATTAAGGTATTAGGCGAGAGAAAATTAAAGACTAAGAACAGCGAGAGAGGAGAAGCTGTTTCGAGTGTGTTTGATCCGTTTTTTTGAAGTTGTTTACGCGAGCTCGTTTACGGGCTTAAGCCCGGCGAAGAAAAGAGCAAAGGAAAACGCGCTGGGCCGGATCGATCGATCCGGCCCAGCCCGATGCCTAAAAAAAAAAAAGGGGGGGGCGGGCTGATTTTGGCCCGGCCCGCACCCTTTCTCCCAAAAAATATAAAAAATAAAATAAAACAAAAAATAGAATTAGGGAATTAAAAAAAAATAGGTGAAAAGAAAAATAAGGAAAAAGGGGGATGGGTAAAAAAAAAAAAAAGAGTAAAAGTGGTAGGTTAATATTTTAGGTATAGAATTTTTTTTTATTTACTTTTATCATTGGTTATTTTTTACCCGCTTACATAGGATGATTTTTTTTTCATTTTGTATTTTGTATTTTATTTTATTTTTAGTCTATCTATTTTACTTCTTGTAGTTTTCTTTTCTAATATGTATTGCTAGAAAATTATATATATATAAAATTTTGACGAAGTCTCCTATCCGATAGGGATTGACGTCGTAAAAAAAAATAATAAAAAAAATTGGCGAAGTCTCCTATTTAATAGGGATCGACGCCATACAAAAAAATTACCTTTTAATCAAGACGTCCTCCGACACGCCGGTTGTGTCAAGGCTTTTTAGTGGATCCGATGTTTGAATCGACGTGTCACCCAACGAAGGGGACCGACGATCGTTTCAATATGATGCCACGCCCAAAACTAAAAAAATTATTTAGGCTAAAAGATAGAAGATTAAAATTTAGAAAATAGTTTGACATGGATTTTAGGAGATAATTCAGAACTAAACCATACATGGTACCTTTTTTTGAAAAGGGCGCTTTTAGGTGATTTAATATCTTTCTAAATGCGTAACCAACTCCTTACCTTAGGAATCTCTCGAACCGAGTGTTACTTTTAGGTTCCTAGTACCGTAAATACTAGGTGGCGACTCCAAAACTCTGTAAATAATTTTATAATTAATTAACGCCCAAACACTTAATAATTTTTTTTTTTTGAGGTCTCGTCCGACGTCGCATAGCGACTTTTGATTTTCTCTCTTTTGACTTCAAAGTTAAATTTTGTTCAATACTCGTGTTCATGTTCTGTCGGATATTAGATTTAAAAACGTGCTATACACGTAGGTTTTGCTTTTGCATTTGTTTTATTTTCAAAATCCTGCATGTTCGGTCACCAGTGGCTTGGACCGTCTCTTTCCTTCCCAAAGAAAGAATTAAAAAGATTGAGATAATTGCATTATGAGTACATTATTTTTTAAAATTATTTTATGTTTTTTTTGTTTGTAATTTAATCCATACCCAAAAAAGGATACATTTTAATTTTCTATCTTACATTTTTAATATGAATGGTAATAGCATCAATTTTTCATTTTAATTGAAATATAAAATTTGATTTAATCTTAAATTTGATAATAAAATCTTTTTGAAAACTTTGTTGTGTAAGAATTCATAATCAAGATAAATAAAAGAAATAAACTACGTCAAGGCTTTATTCAATCAAAACCTGTAAAGAAAAAATAGGAAACACATTAAATCTCAAAGAATAAATTGAAATTAATCCTATTTTAAAACTCAAAATGAAGATCGAAATTTCTACTATCTCCATTACGAGCAAAAAAAAGGTCGATAGCGGCAAAAGCGGCCTCCGCAAATAACCATGAAATCTGATGCTCTTGATTTTTTGCAACGATTTTTTTATCAATAAGATATCGTCGTCGCTAAAACCGTATAGGGATAGAATAGTCACAGACCTATAAGGTTTCTTTTATGTGGCCGATATTCTACTTTTGTGGTGTTTTTATTTTCCTACTAATGCAGACCAATAGTGACACTATATATGGCGCCAGTATATGGTTTGAGTTTATTTTGTGAGGAAGCAAAAGAGCTGCTAAATGTCTTGTGTCTTGTGCGGCAAAAATAAATTACACTATTTTAATGCCAAATTATCTTGTTTTGTTACTGTTTTGGACAATTATTTTTTCCTATAATGTAGACTCCCATTATTTGGTTTCTAAATATATTTTATTTTTTTAACTTTTATTATACCTTTATTTTATAGGATCAATCCAATAGTTTTTCCAATTAATACTTTAGTCAATAAAGTCCTTGTAAGTTAATTTTTTTATAATATTTTTTCGTTTTATGCTGAAAACTACGAAACCATTTAATATAGTTATGATGCATAAAAAATATTGAATAATTGTTCTTTTAGAAATTAATTATGCAACTACTATTACACTAAGCATTTAGTATTTATTTATTTATGAATATTTTAAAATTAATTTACTTTAAATTAAATAATTAAAATTATGTTTTAGCTTAACCACTTAATGATTCAAATCAATATAATTTTTTTATTTTAATATTATTCATTCTTTTGTGAATAAATAGATAAAAATTAAATTCACATTCTTTCAAAAATTGATATTCTCATCAAAAATAAATAAATAGTTTTTTTATTTTTTCAATTCTATGTAATTTTTTTATTAATTATTATTTTATTGTTTCGACACAATCTTATGAGATACTAAAGTTTTTTTAAAAAAATTTTATTTAATTTTCTTTTTAGTTAATAATGCATGGATTAACAAGGATAAATCCTTTTTCTAACAAAAAAAAATATGAAAAAAAATAAATAAGAAATAGTTAAATACAAAATTTTGATTAAAAATTATAAATATTTTTTTATCTTTCATTTCATATATTTTTATAGATTCACGTCATAATAAAGACTATCAAATTAAAATAATTTTTAAAAATAATTTCATATATTTTATTCAACCCGTAGTATAACGTAGACAAACAAATTAGTTTATTCGAAATCAACTGTTTGAAACAGTACACATATGGTCACTTAAACATGAAACGAGCCCAGTACTATATAACTACGTAACTTGTTAAATTGTAAATTTGAGCCCGCAAAAAATGGGATATGCTCCCAGTTTGAATCCTTTGTAGTTTTCCTTTTTGAACATAGGATCATTCGAGCTTCACTTAGAGTGCTTGATTATACATCGGAAGACATCATCTCCATTCTCTTGTTTTCATTTGATTTGTTGGGATTATGATCACAAACGAACATCTTAATGTCCATGCGTGGATCATCTACAGTACAACTCTCAGTCATTTGCTTCACCTTCTTACTAGCTGCAGGCTGTTCTAGATCTGATTTTTGTTCAACATTCTTGTATATCAAGTACAAGATCATTTGAGCAATTCCAAACAAGAATCCCAGTGTATTTGGAAGCTGAAGATGCAATAGAGAGTTATCAATGGGCCGATAAAATGAGGTACTTGAAAGAAGAACTGGAAGAAAATGGTTGAAAGTGAATATATATTAACGTTGCTTACTGCAATATAGTAATCGTGCAGGAGAAAGCCATAGAAGAACCACATTACAGCATTGAGAGTAAGGGTAGCAGACAGCGTGAATGGCATGTATTCTACACTTTTAGTTTTTATTACCCGCCTCTGCAACGTCCAAAAATCAAGTTTCTTTCATATCAATACCTCATCATCTATAGAAACAGCATGCATTAAAGAAATAAAACTTAACTTCGAGAATTAATTTACCATGATACTTAATGGAGCAGCACACACAGCAACGCTGAAAACGGCACAAATCCAGCCAACAACAGAAAGTCGATTTGAGCCCTTCATTAGTAACATGGTGAGTAACACCATTAACCCAAAACTCCCAATGTTGAAAATGAGTATCAGGTTCAACGTAAACATCTGCAATTATGTATATTATTTGCTGTCAAGTCTACAGGAATTAATGAAATTAGGTTTGGTTAATGCCTGCAATAATAAATATTATGTGTTGTCAAGCTTGTAGTTTCAACTGAATATTAAACTTAACTAATCTAAGTCAAGTTTTATATAAAAACTAATTAGGTTTGGTTAATGAAATTAATTGGTTACTGAGATAAGGAGGAGATAAAAAGCGTCACCTTTTCCTGTTTTGGTGCATATATTAGGTAGATCATCAGGTAAGTAATTTCAAAAACACATCCAATGCTGTTGATGCTGATAAGCAAATACGTATTTGTCTTGAGAACACCATAATATAACAGCAATAAGGCACTCACAAGCCCAACGGCATATGGTATGGATTGAAAACCTTCAGAAGATTTCCTCTTAAAAATTGTGTAGAAAGTTGGCCTGAGAGATGAAAAAAGTATATTGGAAACATGCATGTCACATAGAAAACTTTTAGCGAATTTGAAGTAATATTATTAATAAACAATGTTTCAATTAATTCGAAAGACTTTTACACTGGAGCTAAGAACATCCCGACTGCCACAATATTTCCTGTAGAAAGTAAGAAACAAGGAAACATGTCTTAGACAATAATTAGAAACGGGCTACACAAACTTTAGAGTGCGTTCGGAAATTATTAATTTTCATTGTTTCTGTTTTGACTTAAATCACTTGTTTGATTGGATACATATATACTTTGACTTAAATCCTTACGATTTTTTTTTCTTAAAAACTTAATTCCATAAGCTACTCTTTTATATTTAAATTAGATTTTGCTTTATCAAAGTAACTCGTGCTTTTTTTTCTTCTTAATATAAGAGTATTCTCGACGTAGTATTGATTTTTTTTTCTTTTTAATATAAGAGTATTCTCGACGCAGTATTTATACTTCATATCTTTTTCCGATCAAGTCTTTAATAATTTAGTCATACTAAAAAAAACTATTTTTTAATCGGATCTTAGAGTAACTTTTGTCATTAAAACAATTTCTTGTTACAATTATAAGAACACGTGAGTGGAAATCAATGGGGAATTTATGCTAAACGTCATTCTTAACATGGATATAGAATCTAGAATGCTGTAGGCATCGTGGTTCATTAACGTTGGCGATAAGCTAATATACGATGGACATAACGTGGCACTATATCGTTATTTCTAAGGAATATATACATATATGTATACGTGGACATCCAAAACGTCTTAAAACCATGCAATCTTCAAACTTAAACAGTAAGATTCTTAAAATTATTTATATTATATTCTCTTATAAATTTTGAAGCAAAACAAACATCTCAATCAAGCCTAGAAACCATATATGAATTCAAATCTAATGCCATTTTGGATGGGAAAGACGATAAAAAAGAGTAAAATTACTCATATACATACCAAGAAGCCCAAATATGAAGGCCAGCTGATCATTCGAAAAGAATCCCATGTCTATAGGTGAAGACCTGTGTGTGACCTAAGGGGTCTTCCGCTGGAGCCTTCACCAGGGACTAATTCTGTAAAGTGCCAAATGCAAAACTCTACAACATTTTATGAATCAACTAAGAAGACACTTCAATTTATACCTACAAAATAGGTGTTAGGCCACTTCATGTAGGATTCGTCAAGTCTCCTTACCATCAAGAGGAATGATGTTTTTGGATACCATCATAGAGTTTTCAAATGTGATAACACAACGGATTTTGTATTGTATACTATAAGTAGAAATACCTCAAAGAGACTTCTCATCTAGTTGTCTTGTCTAATTTCTTTGTCACCACAGAAAACAGGGCATTTGATCAATCAAATTCTAACTTGCGTTGTATAGTCTTAAGTTAAATATTGCTTGGATTGTTTTGCCCTATCTTATGTAAAAAATGGCTGCAACGAACTCTTATAAGTATTGCCACCACAAGATCTCATTCAACGTACACAAAATGAAGCTAACGCGATATTCATGAATTGATGGTGTTGCTACCCGACTTTGGACGGGACTTCTAAAAAAATTAATTAAGGATTTGTGTATTTACAGAGTTATTTATAAGTTTGGAGTCACCACCTAGTATTGAAGGAAATAGGAACCTAAAATGGACACCGATTCGGAGATTTTAAAGTAAAGAGTTGGTTACGTTTTGGGAAGATATAAATCACCCAAAGACGCCCTTTCTTAAGAAAGGTATCATGTCCGGTTTAGTCCTAAATTCATCTCCTAAAGTGTTTTATTTGTGTCAAATTATTTTTTGTTTTAAAGCTTTAATTTTCCAAGTCAAAAGAAAAAATATATTTTTTTATTTTTTTAGCGTGGTATCGTATTGAAACGATCGTTGGACCATTTCATCGGGAGACACGTCGGTTCAAACATCGGATCCACTTTTTGAGTCTTGACACAACCGACGTGTCAAAGAACATCTTAGTTATCGAGAAGAAAAAAATGAAAAAAAATTATTTATTGTTTTTTTTTTGTTTAAAAAAAATCGTCATCGGTCCCTAAAAAAATAATAGGAGACTTGAAAATTATTGACCTATTGACTACTTAATCTAATTTTGGGCACTTCAAGGAAAATCGTCATCGATCCCTAAGAATTTAGGAGACTTGACAATTTCCTCACCTATTAACTATTGATCTAATTTTTAAATAAAATCTAAAAAAAATAACTATTATTTTTTTTAGAAAAATTATCATCGAGTCCCTAAAAATTAGGAGACTAGATAATTCAACTATCATTTTATTATCAAAATTAGTTATGAAAATTAAAATTCTAAAATTTAAATTAACTAAAAACAAACGAGAATATATATAAAAAAAAAGAATTAAATAAGACATAAACATATATAAATAAAATTCAATATAAATCATCTAAAATAAAATAAAAACATGAATAAATAAAATAAAACAAACAAACTATATAACTTTTTTATTTTATTTTATTTTATTTTTGACAGTGGGCCTGTTTGAGGTTTGACCTAAAGGGGGTTGGATAATCTAATTCTTATTATTTTCTCCTTGGGCTGGGTTAGACCCATTATTTTGGATTAAACCGAACTAAAATTAAATGGGTCAGTATTTCTTTGGGCGAAAAAAAAAAGCCCACAAACAAGAACTAAATTCTTTTATGTTTCTTTTTTGATAAAAAAAATGTCTGCTGCTCTTATCATTTTTTTTTTACCTGACCAACTAAAATTCATCCACAAAGCAAGCAACTAAGTATCACTCTGCTCCCCTTGGTTACTACATTAATTTTCATGCCTTACTAACCAAAACCAAAAGCAGCTTGTTATAATTTTTACATATCATACACTGATAATGACTTTCAACAAATTTAAAACATATTGATATGTCAAAGTAGAAGAAAAGATTATAGAGTTACCTGTTGAGTCTGCAAGAGAATGAGATGTTGAAAACGAAATAGAACAGATAGCTAGTTACATAACCCGAAAATAATGCCTTCTTTTTTTTTAAGCCTGATTTCTTTTCTTTTCTCTGTTTCTTGCTCTCCCTTTCCCTATCGTTTCTTATTGCCTCTCTCCTTTTCTTTTCTTTCATGCTCTCTTCTTTCTCTCTCTATATTTCCTCTCGATCTCTCCTCCTTTTCTTTACTGCTCACTTATCTCTATTCTTTCCTTTCTTTTTTTTTTTTTTTAGTTCTTTCCTGCCTGCTTTGTTTTCTTTTTTCTTCTTTTTTTTTTCTAGCTACTGCCTATTTATAAGCTTATCATGGTTGTGGAGAGTGGCATGGCAGTTTGTAAGGGAAACGATGGCTGATCATAGGGAGTGAAGTGTGGAGGCTATGGGGAGTGGAGAGTGGAGGCTATATTTTGTGGAGAGTGGAATAGTGAAAAAAATGGAGCAGGAGCTGTGGCAGTTTGAGTTCATGGTGAAGGTGATGAAGAATGGAAGTGGACTAGAGATGTGTGAGGGTGAGTGGAGGGAAAAAGAAAAAAGAAAAAGAAAAGAAAAAGGAAGTAAAGAAAAGGAAGAAAAACGTGTGAAGAGAGAGTGGCAGTTTGTTACAATTTGTAACAAACTGCCAATGTGTGTGCTTATCTCCTTCTTTAAAGAAGGAGATAAATAGTAAAATGTATCAAATAATTCAAGGGTGAATGACAGGTCGTCCATGGCCAAAGTGTCAAGTTCGTCCTATCGATCGCCCCTCATTTCAATTAGGTCCTCCTTCATTTTGATTTCTCTGTAATTAAGTCCTTTTTTATAATTATTTTAGTCCCTTAAGTTTCAATTTTTTTTAATGCTCCCTTAATTTCCTTCCATATTTTCCCTACTTTTCTAGTATTTATAAATTGACTCATAATACTTTTAAATAAAATCACAATTAAATCCTTAAAAGTAAAATTTAACAATTTCTCTCTCTTTGTTTTTTTCTTTTTCTTTTTTATCATTTATCATTTTTTTTGAATTTTTTTTAATCAATAAAATAAAATAAATAATGAAATAAAATAAAAATTTAACCTAAAATTTTGGGTTATAACGAGATGGAAATGTGGGCCAATCAATGAATTTTATCATACGCTTTCAAGATCCTTCCTTTTTGTCTTGTAACTCACATATAAAAAAAAATGTAGGGTTATTAATAAATATCGTAAGAAAAAAATTAAAGATGCATACAAAAGTATTTTGTACTTTCGTGTTAAAAAGTTAATATAATACGTTCCTTGTATCTCATCTAATAACTTAA